ACTGTTAAAAGTTACCATTTTTTATTTATTTCAGACATTTTTTCAAAAAATTCTGCAAACTTTATTCGTTTCAAAACTTATTTTCATGCACCCAAAAGGTTATACGAAAATAGTTTAAAATTCAAATAAAAAAATATGTTATTTTTATCAAGATTTATTAAAGTAAATCTTACAGTTCATGCGCTACATGCATTTCATCATTCAAATATATTATTTTCATTTAACCTTACCTATAAGTCCGTTTACCTGTAAGTCCTCAAATTCTAAATCAAGCTTTGTTTATTTATTTGATGCTAATATGCTAATTAAAATGATATAGTCGTGGTTTAAAGGTTTTCTGTAGTATTATAACTATTTCTAAAACCCAATGTAAGATAATGTTTCAATAGTTATAATACACTAATAAGCGTGTATATATCCGTGTAATCTACTTGCAAGCAATATAATAGATGTTAACGATTTCAATTTTGTAGTATATTATTGGATTATAGAAAAACATAATAAACTCAGTTTCAAATCGATGCCAGTGTGACGAAGAAAGCAAGCGTATTATTTAGAGTATAAAAAAATACCTGGTAATAAAATTTCAAGGAATCTAAATTATTATTATTGCTGTTATATGATATAAAAACTAATAAAAACAAAAATACTACTAGATACTACAAGAAATATAGTAATGAACACTTAGAGTATCAAAATATTCGACATTTAATACTATTGAACGTATGTAAATGTACAATTAATAAATAAAAACTACACAATTGTATAGGCACTACATAAATAATTTAATATTTTATATACTCAACCAGGATATAGCATCTAGAGTCACAATATACAGGGCGATTTAAGTCAGTAATTAATAGTATGTATCCGCCTAACAATAAATAAAGCAGACTAACTCTAAGAACACTTATTTTTAGTTATTATTAGAATAAGTTAGCCAATTGTGAATGGGCTCATTGCCTCCTTTATTGAGTAATGCCTCGTTCTTATCAGGGAGTTGTTTTTATTCTCTATATCCTTTATTTTTTTAATATTCTTCAAAATAAAGGAATTTCGTCCACTTTTTGCTTATATGTGTACTTTAGACTTCAGCATTTAAAATATTAAAATCTCTCATCCATATCTTTGACGAAACTCGTCATAGATATAGCATGTACTCAAAAACTTCTTTTTGAGATGATAATCTAGCATTACAATTTTTAATAAATTTCGTTAACGACTTAAGCTATTTTAAACTCATAATTTATAATACAGCCATATTTACTCCATTGTTTTAACATGGAAGTGAAGTCTTTCCTTACCCAAAAACCCAGAATCTTTAAGAACAGAAATATAAAGTACATAAAAAATATTCTATTTATTATTATTATTATGATTTAAATTAAATATATAAAAACAATAATAGAAATTTATTTCTTTTGAAAAAATTGTTCGGGGTCGTAGTCTACTTCTCTGATTTACAAAGGAAAATTTTTTTAGGGGCATCTGAAACAAAATATGGAGTTAGGTGTCATATCTCAATCAACTCACTAAAAGTACATGAAGAATTAGATGAAGTGCTGTCATAGTTATATTGCATTCGATGGGGTTTTGATTTAGTGATGATTATTTTGTATATAATAATTTAAGTTACTTTTTATATAGAATAAATACAATAAAAAAAATTTTAATCGAGTTATATAAAATACAATTATTTTTACTTAATATATTCCAAATAAATTTTAAGCAATTGTTAAAAAACTTTGTTTAACTTATTTAGAATTAAAATATTCAATCTTTTTGTGTATTCCAATTTAGTTATAAATTTTTCATCGTATTTCCAATATATAAATTCTCTATTGCGAGTTTTATACAAAAACCAATGAAAGCAATAAATTGCCAAAAATCTAAAATCCAACACACCTCAAACCTTTCCACTATATGTTGCTTTATTTAGTTTATAAAATCTCAATATTTTTTTTATCGATTTTCGTATTAACCGAAAATTTTAGTATTTTTAATAAAAAATAAACTGCACACATCAGTGAAAACTGTTCGCCATAATCCGCCTTGCTTCTGTGCGTCCCATGAGGTTTTCTAACAAAGCAAGTATTTTCGCTACTCAATGAAAATTTCATAAAAAAATTTCAGCCGGAAAACTAAAACTAATACGCATACAAACAAAATTGCTGAAACTTAAACCACAATAACTTGAATAAAACACAATAATTGCAATATGGCACAGAAATAAACACACAAACTATATAGAATACACATACACTGGGTGTAATGGGGAACACGAGTTCCGGAATATGGAATATGGAATATGTAAACTATGAGTTCATATCGAGTTATTGAGTTGTTATAAAGCAAGCGTCCTACGCTTCGTTGGGTTGTGAAAACTTTCGATAATATCGCACTGTAATGGATACATCGATAGTTTCAGCAATATTGCTATTGTGTACTGAGATTTATTAAATTGATACGATATCTGTTGGTTTAAAACACAATTTGTAATCTTAGTAATATACACGAAAATGATTGTAAATTTTAAAATTTTAAATTTCTACGAAACAATTTTTTTTTAAAGAATATATGATAGATCAAATTTTCCACAGAAAAACACTATTGTATATTTAATCAAATATAACTAGTAATTGTTTTTTAGTTGAAAATAGTTTTTGTATAAAATATACATAATAAACACAAAACCAACCAATATTTATTTTGTTGCTATCAAAATAATCTCCTTCGATTGCTATATAACTTTGTCAACGGTTGAGTCATTTCTTTATAGCTTTCTTGTACACTGATTGGAGCATAGCCTTCAACTCCTGCAGTGTATGATTTTTCATGATCACAATTGACTCAGACCGCCGTTCTCAAAGTGGTAGCTTTATAACCATATCAGATGAGTACAGTACTTGTGCGTTCACTTTCTGCGGCACTAGGCAGAAAGCATCAACAATTTCTTAAGAATAAATGGAGAGATTTCGTTACTGACCCAGAGAGCAGAATATGAAACTTTTCTTCAGTGTTTAAGAGAGAGAGAGAGAGAGTTGATATAAAAAGTCTTGGTACATAGAAGTTTACTAAAGGTTCATCTAAACCAGAAAACATAGAAATAGTACAGAAAGAATGAATGTAGGTGGAGGAAGTGAGGCTATTGCCAAATACGGGGGGTAGTTTAGTTGTAGATTGTGTGGTCAAAATCACGAAGACGACTCTTATAGAGGATGATAATGGAAACATCTAAATACCTCTCATTACTCAACACTTAAACACTACGATGAATTTATGCAATCGCAGAACGGTATATATATATATATATAATATATGTTGATAATAGAGATATATAATGTATTTTTCAAATTTGACATCACCAGGACAATAAAGCTTTTTTTCAGTCACGAAGCTCTGAAACTTTAAAAAAACTGCCTGACATAAGAATTGGAATATTAAAAAAGTTCGAACAACATTTTTGACTGGTGGGATGTTTAGGTTTTTATAATTGTTTAAGTTTTTGTAAACCATAGATTTTCGATCATTTTTCGAATAATATTGTTTTGCACTCAGCACTATTAATTAATTTCATACCTCCATGTTAGCTGTTAGAGCGGTACAGTTGACATTTATTTTCGAGACTTAACATACGATTTCGATTCATGAGCCAATGGAGCCGACTGAATTTCAGTTTTCATATCTCTTGCTTTTTACGTGTCTACTCAATATCAACCTTCTGTTATGGTGAATACCCAGACACTAAGCTTCGTTTGCTTGTTGTATATATACTTAATCCTTTAACTCCTAGGAGGAGCACAGGACCGCTTGTTGTATAATTATTAAAAATAATTTTGACCGTGAAATTAATTAAAAATTCTCTAGATTCCAGTTTAAAGCATTATTCATAAAATTAAGAAAACATGTTTTCAATGAGAATATCCAATAGAATGGCATTGAAAACTTTCTAAAATATACTCATGGATGCTCAGTGTGTTAAATAATATTGTATTGATCATTAGATTTCAGAATCTAATATAATTTTATTACTTGAATACTTTAACATTGTTTAGGTTTCTTGAAAAATTTAAAAGTCGAACGGCATTATTATTCATCAATTATTATTCTACCACAGGCTGTCACGTTGCAGCCGTCGCAAATAGTCTTCTAGTTCTGTTATATATATTTGTTTTGTTTTATAACTGAAGGAAAGCTTTTTAATTTGGGCAACCTATTATTATTATAATAAATTAATTTGAGGTTCAAAAAGTCTTTCCATTAATATTGTATTTATATAGATAATTATATATATATAGATAATTATTTTTTAACTATAATATGCTAACAGTATACATAATTAATGTGTAACCATAGAGCATGAATCTGTTAATGCTATGTATAAGTAATTGTTATTCTTTTTAATTAATTTGCCTTTTATGCTTTAATATAATTTTTTATTAATTATTTTTATTAAATTATGTTTTTGTAAACAAAACACCTAATACTTTTCATATTTTTTCTGTTTTGCAAACTTAATTTTTTGGTTTATTTTACATAACAAAAATTACAACCACTTTTCTAAACTTCTACCTCAAACCACAACTATATATATATATATACAAATTTATATAATATATAACCAAAGCATTCGTTACAAGTGCTAACCAATATAAATAAGTGTAAAATTATGTACAAAAATGCGAGAGAAAAATTGTATAGAACTTCAACTAAAAAAAATATTGTATATATTTAATTAAATATAAACTGTAAATTTTTTAACTTGATTCCATAAAAATCTCAAATATTTACTAATAAATTTTTTCTTTTATAATAACAAAAACAAAAAATATAAATAATAGGAACAAATAATGCGAGAGAAGCAAGTCAGTGGACGTGTCCAGATACAAGTTTGGTACCACGCAGAACGTAATGAATTGGTCGTATCACTAATGGCAGCAGATGATTTAGCTTTACGCGATGAAGCCTACGGTCACGGTAACTTACCGGAAGCATATGCTAAAGTACGCATATTACCCAAATGGTAAGCAGAAACAATATTTAATACTCAATAGTTTATAAACCAATATTTTTTTATTAAATAAAAAATAAATATATATAATAATAGCGGCGATGGTTCCGTACAACAAACAGAAGTAAGTCGACCGACACAGAATCCAATTTGGAATGCAACTCTCACATTTGCGCATGTGAATGCGGATAGCTTAATGGATCGCTATATTGATATACAACTCTGGGACTTAGTGCCACATACAGAATCTATTTTTCTAGGCGAATGCAATATTGAACTACAACAAGCTTTTCTTGACGATCATGCAATTTGGTGTCGTCTTGAAGATCCTAAAGGTTTGCGTGGTATTAGTATATCCAAATCACCAAGCGTTTCACCTCGCGGTTCACTTGCTACTGGCTGTCCTGGTGGTGATGTATCACGTTTACTGCGACGTGACTATAATATGCAACGTTCCATATCAGATGAAGTAGATTCAATTGGAGATGGCACATCTTTATTACATCCCGATCATGCTTGGATTGCTGGTTCTCGACGTGGTTCCTCGCAATCTGAAACACTTGAAGTTGAGGTATATCAGTTGGGTAAAGATTTTTCACGTTCTTTACCAGGTTCGCGTCGTTCATCATTTCAAGATCCTGAAAAAATACGTGAAGAAGATGTTATGGTACCACCACCTACAACATATCTAGCGGGTAGGCGACGTTCATCGGCTGCTAGACGTGACCCCGATGAAATTCTTAAGTCACTCAAGGCTGTACGTGGTGAATTAGGGCGTGCAATGAGTTTAAATACTGAACCTAACAATAAACGGCCAACATCTAGACGTGAGTATACAGTTCTGATTTATTTATTAATGAGATTTGTACGTGATTGAGTACTGAAAGTATTGAAATTGAAGGAGTTTTTAAAAATATTGATGCTTAAAAGAAATTTAAAATTATTGGTGTAAGCCAATTTTATGATAATAATGGTTTCCTTTAAAATGTATTTAAATTTCCATGTGCAAGAATTTATAAACTTGATTAAATGTACTGAGACCAAATGGTAATTCATTGTAAGTTTTGGATTAGATTTACAGCAGTTGAACTAAGCTTAATGACTACTTCTATAGGAAATGAAAATTGCTATTTATAAATTATTTATTTCATTAGCTTATCTTTAATAATAGTTTCTATTCCGCTTATATCTTTTATTATGATACTCAACAAAATGCTCATCAAAATAATCTTTATGAAGAACACAGTGTTTTGAATTATTTAACAAGCTTAAATTGGAACATTATGGTGAAAATACATAGAACTTCATAATCGATGGATTTCGATAAAATAAATAAAATGACAAATAAATTTCAATAACAAAAATCTCTGTGCCTTTTCACATGGGTCAAAACAGTGCAATAGTTCAATAATAAATGTTAAAATGTCCGGAGTAAATATTTGTATATAATATATAAATACCTTTTAAATTTAAGTAATAGGGTATTACTTTTTTGAGTAGTTAGGTATTAAGTTTTTGAGTAATTAGGTATTTATTTACTCTACCTAAAAATAATATACCAAAATAGCAGTGAAAGTGAGAAATTGACGTATGACTCCCTATATAACATACCCTTTGGTCATGACCAAAAAGAACGTACAATTGTTGTGACCATTCTTTAATGACTCTCTGTATAACACGATGCTTAGGTACAAAAGCTTTAATTAAAAGTCATTGATATCTATATAGGATGCGTTTAGCTGTTTTAAGCAATATGTTTAAAAATATTTTAATCTATGTGATTTTGGAACGATAAACATATAACAATAAGTCTTCATCAGTATTCTGAACATTCCGAAAACATGTTGAGACTTTATTAATTTCGAGGAGTAGTATTGCCATCATTTTAACTACCACAACTATACCGCTTATGGCTTTAAAGCCCGATCTGAACTCAGTACAAAACTGAGCTTCTTACAAAATTCTGCTATTTTGCCTTTTGGCCTTGTTTGCTATTTATTTTTTATATTTAATTGTTAAAAATATTATCCACATTGCAATTCTTCTTGGTCTAACGCAATATAGTTCAGTACGTATATTTTTATTACTTTGACGTAAAAAGAAAAAGGCGGTGTTTCTGTAATACAATAAATGAGGCAACTTTCCTTAGTAATGCTCATTTAATTACTGTTAATTACAGTTAATTAGGTTAACTGTTGTTCAGAATGTTTGTGCCATATATTAATACAATTTATTATTCATACCTATTAAAACCAAGGCTGGCTTAGAGTTTTCTAAATAGTATTTCTCCAGTACAAGTAAATAGCCCTAATTTAGTAATTGCGGATGTACTGGATTCCTGAGTTCCTTTCCACTCTTACTTTTTTTTATTTTAGATTTAACTCGTTTATCATTCAAAATCCTTTTACATGTGCTGTTAAATGGGTTCCAATCAAACCCATATTTTACACTGTGATTTGACAAAACAATGGTTAGTAGTTTCATTATTAATTCAATTAGTAAAGTCAATTTGTAGCAGTTAATCAGTTGAACTGAGGTATTTCTTTTAAGTGTTAATATTTAAAAACTCTTCATTTTCTTATATACTAAAAAATTTTTATTTTTTTTAAATAAATTTTATATTGCAACTCTTATATCGCTTTAATATATATTTAATATAATGCATATATATTTTTTCACTTCTCTTTTAATTTTCTAACCCAACTATTTGCTCACTTTATAAAATGTCTACACTCTAACTATCCTACAAACACGACTACTTCTATATTTCTTGCTACTATATTTATTCACGTCTGAAATCTTTACTTGCAAAACCTATTAGCATCAATATCGGTGTCGCATTATCAAAGCTTTGACAATTCATACACTTGGACAACAACAAAATACTCGTAATACTAAACTCAAAATCTAAACAAAAATCCATAAAAATAATAAAGAAAATATGTACAGATTACAAAACAAAAATAATAAATAAAACTATTTATTTATAAATAAAATTGCACTAAAATCCTACAAAATAAATGTAAATTATGAAAATAAATAAATTTTAATAATACAAATACATGTTAAAAACAAATAAAATTTAATTAAAATCATATAAGCTGCACCAGAAATTATTTACTTGCAACTCACAGCGCACAATTCTCTGCTACACTACAAAAAATAATTTTAAAAGAAATTCAGCAAAATTCAAAAAATTCAACAAATCACTAAATTCAGAAAAATTCAGAAAAACAATCAAAATTTAGCAAAATAAAATTCAATACAAAAATAATTTTTTAATTCAAAATGGTAAGATTCATTTACAAACTTTGTTTATTGTTTTTAGTAAAACTTTGGATTTCTTTTTGAAACAAAATAGTTTTTTTTTCAATTTCGAACATTTCTATTTGTTGTTTTTAACGAGTTTCAAAGGTTTTATTGGCAGTTGCTGTTAAGTAATTGTTAATTTTGATTTTGTTTGTTAAAAATATATATAATCTAGAATTTTCACAATATATATGATATATTCATTAACTCATCCATCATTACACAATTTCACATTTAAACACATACGAATATTTTTTATATACCCAATTGCATGTTTTTTATGTGAATGCCATTCTAAATGTAAATATTTCCACTAGAGTTTCTTTTATTATATTAGATTTTTTATAATTGATATTAGAATTCGTTTATATATTATATTTCACATATGAAAATTAGTGAAGCTCCTTGTATTCTTGTATTGTTCTTGTACAACGGTGCGTATGAGTATTGTTTTTACGTTCAATATTTGCGTTATAAAATTCTTAATAACATTAAGGCGTTCCTTGATATTAAACTTAGTAATAATAATAATAATAATAATAATAATATTAATACGTAAGTTGAAATAATATCATAAATTAAAATTATTCATTACAAGTAAAAATATAAAATATTATGCACAATTATTTATCACAATTATTTGTAAATATTTTGAGAGTTCTATATTAATAAGTACATATCAGATAAGATAAAGTTGTAAAATTTAAAATAAATGTTAAATATTCAAGTATATATGTGGTCAGTATTAAATTTTATTGGAATGAAACTAATTTATTTTATATTTATTTAAATATAAATGTTAAATGTTTAAGAACATCATATATTCATGTTACATTCAATTCAATATTGAATGATTTATTTTATTTTTACTCATGCATATGTGTAATTACCAATTAAATTTATTGAATTCAGGAAAATCATTTATATCTTATCATTGGTTAAAATCATCAGTTGATATGTGCATTAAATAAATCACAAATTTAATTTCAATTTTTTTAAATCAACTAGTCAAAGTTTAAAATTGTTCGTACTAAAATAGCACTTGTATCCTTTTATAATATATTTGGTAAATATATCTTTATACTTCAAATAAAGATTTAAAGGCAATGTTTTGGAAACAAAAAGAATACGAAAAACTTCTTTAACCCAGATTTATAAAAATGTTGGTCAGTCCAGATTAATGATACCATTCAGTTTCTATTCAGTCAATAGCAGCAAAAATTGAATAAAAATTGAATTGCAATCCTTTGCTTAGTAAAATATTGCATAAATTAGAAAACACATATATATGATATATGATAAAGTATATAAGTCAATAGGAAACATAACATATGGGCGAATAAGGCATTAATGCGACTATGCACATAAGCTATTCAATTGATTTCTGGCACTAGGCTGTCGAACAAATATGTTAATATTTAATCTAAATTAGCGAATAAGTGGTTGATCGGAACTGTAATCCATACAATGCCCATATTGCATTTTCTCACATTCTCCGCATTACGCGACAATCTGCATTATTGGAGATTTGAACTACTGGAGATCAACTATAAATAGATTAAAATACTGATTTGTGCCGATAACGTTATAAAATGTTACTATTTAACTGCTTTTGAATTCAACTAAATTGTTAATAAACAATTAGTGAACTTTTTTAAATAAGAATATAAATAAAAATAAATTAAATTGTTATGTTTGCAGATTCAAAGTATAACTATTTTGTTGCTTTTTCCTATAAATTTCATATCTTTAGATATATAAATCTAATTGCAAAATTTTTTTTTATTAACCTAGTAATATAAAATAATTGTTCTATAAGTGTTAGGCATTTCAATTGCCAAAATTTCAGGGATTTCTAAAGTATTTAGTTTGCTTTCAAAGCAAGACGAATTTTTAACTTATGTCATTAACTATTCCAATGATTTATTTATAAGGAAAAATAATAGTCAACACAGATTAGCGCAATTTATTCAGTGAATGATATAAATTTTAACTTCAAGGGTTTCTCCGATCAGGAGGATATGATAAATACATTTCTGACTAATAATTATAAATTTTACATGAGGATAAATGTTGTGATTACCTTACAGCACGTTAAATGTATATCTTGCACAATTTTTTTTATAAATTTGTATTACTTAAATTTATTAAAATGTATTTTTATATACTTAGTGCACTGCTGGTAATGTATTAAAACTTTTTGAGTTTGTATTTAATGTGTCATTGCATTTAAGTTCAATATATCTAAGCTGATACGTAATGGCACTATTTAAAGTAATTTTTAATGCACGAGTACTCTTTCGTTGTGTTCTCTTATTGGTCTAAGCGAAAATCATTAATTATTTTATAAAATTAAAATATGCTTCCTATCTATAACATCTAATGCACGATTGAAAATTGTAAAGCCAATTGAACTTTCTAGTCTAATATCCGAGAGATATTAAAAACTAATGGTTTCTACTTCCAATCGCTGTTTCACTATGTGTCAGCATCAACTAAATTTATTAATTTTAATGAATTGTAAAAATACATAGACTTCAACATTATATACTCATGTTTTCTTTTATTGTCAAACATGAAAACAGAGCATCTAAACCAATATATTTTTAGAAATGAACTTAGCTGTCAAAAGTTAACCTTCTTTTTTTACGAACTATTTCGCTAGAAAAGTGCACTCCAAAAAATTCCCTGGAGAAATTTGTTTATTTTAACAAAATAAATTAATCAATCATACCCACCCACATACATCCTATGCAGATATTTTTTTATTAGAATTGGTCGATACAATTGGTATACAACCAATTGTGGACGTGCTTTTCTTAAACCAAAATATGGTATCTAAAAAGATAAAAAATTAGATTAATTGTGATATTGAAGTGTTATGAGAAATAATTATTATCGTTTATGTACTCAACCGCGAACATAATTATGTCTATGGAATGATTTAAGATATCTTTTAAACAGGGTATCAGTATGTCACACAATATTGATTCCGCAAAATTACAAATTAAAAATCAGAGGAAAAACAAAAAAATATTGGTTATCTCTTTATCACCGTCTGGCATGATATGGTGTATATTCACTATAAACACTGCTTATTTACATGTTTCTTTTTGTTGCTTCATTATAATGTTGTTTTTACTTAAAATTCCTTCAATTAACATTTTTAAGCATGCTAACTTTAAAACTTGACTAAAATATCAGAATAAATCCATTCTTTAGAACCTAAGTAAGTTTATACTTCAGGAAATGCTCTATACATTTGTATTATATTTACCAAGGTATATTTATTAAGTGAGAAAATATGAATATTTATAAACTCTAGTAGTAATCTTTCCTCCTACGAAACAAATTAACACTAAAATTTATCTCTGCATCTACTTGAACTCACTACATTTTTATTATTTTCACTATTGAATTTATATATTAAGTAGACATATAATTGATCATGTATTAAATGTTTATGAAGTCGATATAACTCGTTATATATCCTCGAACTGATACCACAAGACGAATTAACAGATAGTCATTTTACTATCTGCCCATTTATACATTTTCAGAAAAATATATTTTTACCACATATAAGTTATAAAAACCTGATCAGTTTGTTAGAAGAAAATTTAAGGTCATATGATAAAGAACATATGAAGACCAACATGAGATATAGTTGAACCAACATGATGCGCCAAGTAAGAATATTTTGACCTGAGATTTTATTAAAATCTGGTTCAATCAACCTTATTATTTTTCTGAGTGTACTATTGTCTGTACTATAAATTCTGAAAGGGCTTATGTGATCTTATCTTCCAATATACAAGCTAACACTAACATCTTTTTATCTAAGTTCATACACTTCCTACATATATATTGTATTACAATAGTGATAATGGTGATAAATATATTATTGTATGTTTATGAAATGAAGGAATATAATTAATTATAAATGCCTACATATAATTATAAACACATAAATGAAAGCATTTGCAGAGAATATCATATTATTATTATGATTATTCACATTGAATACTTTCAAATTGCCTTATTAATGAATATAGAATATCAAAGTTCATTATTTAAAATGCCAAAATATAACAATACAAATTAATCTCTTCTAAAGTTCATAAGTCGACCAAAATGTATTTCAACAACATTTTGCACAAATAAGATAACCGTTCATTATATTTATCCTGCAGCTATTGTCTCGAGCAAAAAGTCAATTTCATTAAACACATTAATTAAAACTAATTTATTTGAAAACCGATCCAAACCACAATATTGAGGCGGTGACCCTTTTGACAAGTACGATACATTCATAAATCCCATACAAATTGGTTGGTTGCAGTTAAGCTGGAACAAGACATCTTCTTAAGTCAATTATGTATTCTGTACCATGAGCGATTCTATCTATGCATAGTACAGTGTATGTTGCATTATTAAGTTAAGACAAGTTAAACCACAACTAAACCGATCGATGCTTCAAGGCAAATTGTAACTTAATATTGCAAGGGCTCCATTAGGATAAGTGCACAAACAGCTACAACGACTCAATGAAACTTGCACTTCAATGCAAATAGTTTTGAGTGCAACATAAAAGAAAAGTTTAACTAGAAGTCAAAGATGACAAGATACAAATACTTTAATTTGTTAGTTAAGCACTTCAGATGCAAATACTGCAGATACAAAGAATTTGTAGTTTGAACAAGATATTAATTATTTACAAAGGAATAGCGACTTTGACAGTATATATTTCACTTTTTTAATTTTTCCGGTTAAGACTAAGAATAACTAATTTTCTGGACTGTTAAAATTTCAATAAATTACTTAAGAAATTAATCTAATAATGTCACTAGAGTTCCTTTTTTTTAAACAAACCACATGTAGTTAAAAAAAAAATTAATTATAAATGTGCAATTAGTTTATCTATCTAAATACTTATAAAATTAAATAAAAAATTTGTTAAATATAATTACAAACTGTTTGATATGTAATACCTAATCTATTTAGAAATCATTAATTTTATTAAATAATTAAAAAGTTAATTTGTTCGTCTAATTCAATGCGTTTAAATATTTTATATTGTTTGTAAGATACTGAGTGTTTAGTAGTTTGTTTTGTATTTAATAGCATTGATTTCAAATATTAATTAGTGATGATTTCACATAAACCCTTGTTAAATTTTAATTAAAATTTGTTACCTTTGTGTTTATATAATTAGTTTAATAATTTCTACAACAACAACAGCAACGACATTAAAGTGATTTTCTTTAACTTAGGCACCAGTCGAGTTGGTTTACCGAGTGGTCCAAATAGTCGCAAAAGTTCTATACTTGATCTAACACAACAACAACAACAACAGCAACAACAGCATTTACCAATTGGTATTGGTAACACAGCAACAAGTCCACCATCTGATGATGAAAATAAACGCTTCACACCACGTTGGAAAGGTTCCGGTGGTAATTTACCACCACAAACAGCTAAACAAGCATTGAGTATGTTGAAACAAGCTGCATCCGTTTCGAATGTAACACAAGGCACAGAGAAAACAAATTTCCTCAGCATCAGTGACAGTCCCAAAAATATACGCAAAGGTAGCATGATTAATTTACCAAATGAATCCAATGCACTAAGTGCAGCACAACAACGCAAGGGCAGTATAATGAATCTAAAAGGTACCGAATCTCTTCCGCATCAACGTAAAAGTAGTGTTTTTGTGGCAGGTGGAGGAAGCACAAATTCACCGATACAACGTAAAGGTAGCATGTATGTCAGTAGCGGCTTATCAGTTGGTACTGATTCACCAGCCACAACACGAAAAGCAAGCGTATTTAATTTGAATCCTAGTGACAGCCCGTCCATGTTACGCAAACAGAGCGTAGCACCCATGAGTGGTAGTGCCAAAAATTTAACTTCACTTGGTGGTAGCATTGGTAATATTTCAAATATGTCCGCTATGTCCGCCACAACTAGTATGGAAACGAATTATGGTCTGAAATTGGGACCTGGACAAATACATCCCAAAGGTTATCGGTTAACTACAGTACGACATGGTGAACTTAAAATGGGTTTCATTAAAATTAAAGGCAATGTTGAAGTTGAGGTAAGCTTAAATAAAAAATTGCATTTTAATTATGTGTCGGTATATGTATATAGTTTTTATATGAATTTTGTTAATGTAAAAATATAAAAGTAAAGTTATAGTATGAGTTACAGTCCTTAAAAATATTCTAGTTGATTATATCTAAAATTACTTAAATATATTATATTAAAAACTAAGATATTGAACTTTATCACCGTTTTTATTACCCATTCGGAAAGCCGAGGAAAAACAAAAAAAGCTGTGTAATTTGCTTTCTACTCTCCAGAATGCAGTGTTACTTTATTCAGGTAGCCGCCACAAACCTATAATCTTTGGATTATAGTTAAATAATTTTCCCGGAATATCACAATCGAAATCTTTCGAAAGGACTTTCAACCAAAAAACAATATTTAGGTTGTATGCAAATAAGTAAAAACAATTTAAAAATCATTTCAAAAATTCTAACAGAGCATTTTAGGTTAATAAAACACCTCACAAAAGTGAGAAGTTAATCTAATGGAACTTTTGGGTTTTGTAGGGAATACAATTGGATCACAAAATACCTGCTGGGAATGCGACTGCGACCGATACATAAGCAAAAGAAGTACCTGGAGAAAAGGGAACTTAGTCTAATGGAGTTTGTGGATTTCGTAGGGAAGAGAATAGGACCGCAAAAAACGTGTTGAAAGTTTGCCCGGCGCTGATGTATAAACAAAAGAAGTTGCTAGAGAGGAGGGAACTTATAGTTGTCTAATGAAACTTGTAGGTTTTGTAGAGAAGAAAATAACACCTTAAAGACATGCTAGGAGTTTGCTCGGCACTCAAGCATAAGCAAAAAAGGACTTAGATGATAAAAATTAATCTAATATAACTTGTAGGTTTTATAGGCAAGAGAATGAAAGCTCAAAACACAAGCTAGAAGTTAGCCCGGCACTGGTGCATAAAGAAAAGAAGTACTTAGATGGAATATCTCATACCAGATAAAATAATAAAACTGTAATGCATTTAATGTTGCAATTTATATCTGACAATATTATCTGACATTATTTATTAAAGAAATCATATGATGGCAACATAATCTTCCCTAATAGTCCACTACCTAGACACCAATATGAAGTTATCTCATTATCTGATACCATTGAATCGATTTATAACAGAAAGCAACTGATGGTAATATAATCTCCACCAATAAACTCTTTGCCTGGACATCAAAATCATGTTATCTGACAAATTATCTTGTTATCTTTCTGTGAAAGTACTTAAAATTGTTAATTTTTAAGGATAAATAAACTAAGATTTCAGCGAAAAATAAGTCGAAAATGTTAGAAAAGAGGGACAAAAAATGTGACTTTGAGTTTTCTAGGACTGTCTTTGAGATTATATGATTAAAATAATTTTTTTATAATTGTAGAATATATAAAGTAAGTGTGAAAAATAATAAAGAACTGATATTTTAGCAAAAAGAGTCAAAAAATACTATGTCAAAACATTTGTCAAAATATAAATATATTAGAGTAATTAATGTAAAAATAAGGTTACAAGGTAAAATTAGTTTTTACTAATAGTTATTCTTTAAAAAAAGAAATAGAAATATTATTATTTTTCGTTAATACTACAATTACTCATATGTTATTAAATATCTTCTTAATTAATTTTAGATCATTTGTGCTCGCAACATTGTGCCCGTGGATTGCGAAACACCACCTGACACCTATGTAAAATGCTATATCAAAGATGGCGATCGTTTGCGTCACAAAAAGAAAACCCGTGTCATACGTCATTCCGCCGAGCCATTTTACAAACAAACTATTAAATACCAGGTGAGTACTTATGTTAATTATGAGTACTAAACAAATATAAGCAAAATTTTATAATATAATTTTGACATATTTATTAAACTTAATTAGTTAATTGGCACAAATAATATTATATTATATATTTTTAATATTATGTTTACACTTACATTATCGAAACTGATTAGCATTTTTTTATGTGAATATAGCATTTTTAGATAATGCTATAGTGTAAACGTATTATTAGTTAATAATAGATTAAAATTTATTGTTGAATTTACTAAACTAAAAAAAGACATACCATATTAGTCGTAAATCCAGGTACTACAAAAATTTTTCAAAAATAACTAAATATTGCAAAGAAAGCAAACCAAAAAATATATTCGGTTTTGACCAATGTTTGAGATAAATTTCCATTATCTGTCTATTGACATGCATTCAAAGTAAGCCTAATAATTTCATTTGTATTCATGTGTGTAGGAGTAAAGCTTATTATGCTCGAATATTTGCTATTTTTGGTTTTGTATTGTTTACTAAAGAATATTTTAACTGAAAATAATTTCATTGTTCTTTTTCTGTATAAAATTTGCATTTAAAGAGCTCAGATGTATTCGGCCGGAATATTGTTATCATGCTCTGGCAACGTTGTGTAGGCTTTGAGCATAATCAAGGCTTAGGAGGCACTGAAGTGAATTTGGATAAATTGAATATGGCACAGCACATTGGCGGCTGGTATCCACTCTTTCCAATGCACTCATATGGAGGTTCAGATTCGGATAATTCTCCTTGACCGATCACGCTCAAGCAACAGTGTTTCAATAAAGTTTTAAAAATAATTACACCAAATAAAATGATAATAAATGAAACAAATCATACAAGAATTAATTATAAAACAACAACAACACCAAATTTAAATAATTTTAATTTAAGAAAAGAAGCTCAATTGTTTAATTTTAAGGAAAATTTGAAAACGTTTACAAAATATTTGAAATTTATTTTTACATTTAATAAAATAAAAAACAAAAATTTGCAACCCAAAACTGCAATGCAGACAAAAGCAAATTAGAAAAGTTGATGGAAATATATATTTAGATATATTTTATCACATAAATGCAATCTAAACTGTGAGCTTAAAATTTATTTAAAGATAATATTTAGTAAATTTCAACACATACAACCACACACATAGATATGCACACACACCACAAAGCACGTAAAGCACCGAAATTGTATAAAATTTTAAGCTATTATTTTGCCTTTTGCTCGCACAAGTAAAACGCTTATATACAGGGTGTCGCACTTAACAAGTGCTAGTTACTTATTTAACTCATATTTTAATTAAATAAACCAAATTTGCTATTACTTAATTAAATCCTACAAATTTGTCTCATAAATCTCAAAAGGAAAACACCGAAACGCTTAGCTTTAAATACCGGGTGATTTGCTGTTAATGTACAAATTTGTACAAATTTTATATGCTTGTAAATTACAAAGAATTATTTCAGGAATGCTATGTACCTTATAAAGCTTATAACACTTCGTAACAAGACATATAATATCACAAATATACACACCTCTGCATACACGGGAATTGTTACAAATTTTGTATTTTGTAGTCTTGCCATATAAGACTAGCAGATGAATTCAGAGTCACTCATACGCACGGACGTACAAATTCTCGAATACCTGGAAGTGTTGCAAGCTTATTTGTTACTTTGTTAAAATTTTAATATGAAAAATATTTTAAGGAAAATTCAAACTGTCTGTTACTTGAAAAATGAGTTAAGTCATAGTTAAGCGGAAATCTTTTATTTGCAGATGATTTATGCAAATTATATTTTCTGCAATTGTTGTTATTGTTGTGAAGATTTCTATTTTGGAATAAAACGTTAAGCCCCATGAGAAGCAAAATGTTGAAAATATTTGAAGAAAAAATAGATTTGTTACACTAAGTTTATCATATTATATATATATATATACAGAAAACAAACTATATACATACCATATATTGTATTTATAATACACAAGGTAAAAATTTTACTTATTTTATATTATTTTCCAACGAAACATAATACATACAATAAACGAAACTATAGCAAATTTCAAAGAAAGATATTTATTCAAATATATTTTCAAATAAAAGCAAAAAACCAAATAGCTTTAAATATTGCTCATCTAATTGAAGCAAAACTTAAAATATTTCAACTAAACTTTAAACTATTTAAACACTAATTTTATAATATGCATTAAAAATGATATATACGAGTACATAAAAATATTATACAAAACAAACTGAATCTCTACAACAGCAATATTATAACAGAACTATTTTCGGAAATGATTACAGAATATTGCTCTGTTATGTTAATCACACTGTTAAATAAAAATATTGTCATAAAAATAATTATTGAAATATCGTTGAAATATGCAAGCCGTTATAATTAAAATAACGTTGAAATCTACAATCTGGTATTATTTTGATTAAAAAAAAACATTTCATAATGGCTCTAATATAAATTGATATACTAAATAAATATTAAATAGAAATAATGTTTTAAAAATAATTAATAAAAAAATGTTAAAATTTACAGTCTGGTATAATTTTGATTTAAAAACAAAAACATTTTATAATGTCTCTAACATAAACTCATATAGTAAATAAATGTTAAAAAAAAATATTATCATAAAAATAATTAATAAAATAACGTTATAATCTACAAACTGATATAATTTTGATTTAAAAACAAAAACGTTTTATAATGGCTCTAATATAAACTAATATAATAAATAAATATTAAATAAAAAAAAAACATAAAAAATAAATGAAATGTCGTTGAAATCTATAATCTGGTGTATTTTTAATAAAGAAACAAAACTATTTTATAAAGCCTTAATATAAGCTGATAAAATAAATATATGTTAAATGAAATAATGTTAATAACAATCTGGTATATTTTTAATACAAAAATGAATAATTATGAATAGTTATATGAATAATACTTGCAGTAGTATCAAATTACGTTACGATAAAAATAACTATTTATAAAAAGCATATTTTTTTAATAACAACTATTATAATATTACATTACATTACATTACACTTTAATATTATTATAAAATGCATATAAAAAAAAATTAAATGAATTGAACTAATAATTAAAAAATTCATTTTGTTAATATATTAATAAAAAATAAAAACATAATTTTATTTTAATGATAATTTGTTAAATAATATATATAATATATGTAATAATTAATAAATTGTTATTACGACGGATATTTATTTAGTTTTTATATTTTTTACCGGGCTTAAAAACGACAAATAATTTTATAAAAAATATAACTAAATATTTAACACATTTTAAAAAGTGTAATTTATTATTTTATTTAAAAAAACATTTTTATAAATTTATGTATTAAATAAACAACCTAAGCCCGGTAATAAATATAAAAACTATATATAATAATATTATAATAAAAGTATGACGAAGATATAATTAGGATTGTAGACTCCTTAATAATAAAGAATATAATATTTATTACTAAACAATATCTAATTGTTATTCATTTCAACACTACAATTATAATAAATAATTTTATAGTATTACATATATTATATATGTAATATTATTATGATAATAATTATGATAATTATTATAATTATTATTATGAGTCTAAATTTTGTTGAGAATTGTGGCATTATTAATGATAATAATAAATATTGCAGTTTTACTAAAATTAAATATGAAAATTATACTTTATAAACTATGGTTAAAATTAATTCAATTAATTTTATTAATGCGGATAATATTAAATATTCTTATTAAATAATATTACCATGTGAGCATAATGAATTTAAAATTTTTAACGAGTATAATATATAAAAAGTGACATAAAAAGTATATAATTACATAAAACCAGAACAATAATATAACAGTAATAAATAAGAATAATAAGAACTATAATAAATAATTAAATGTACTATAATATGTAAAGTAATATAATTACATTATTATATATAAATAATATAAAAAAATCAAATATTAATAAATGTTTCGCATTAATTGAAACTTATAATAACTTATATATAAAAAAATTATAATTAAAATAAAATAAAAATAAATCTAATTGAAATAAAACTATTCTAATTATAATTAACAATAATTTGAATGAAAATGAATATTATGTGAATAATATATTGTTATAAATATTAATAAAAATAATCTGAATAATTTTTGCAATTCTAACAAAAATGAATTCAATCAATATAATTATAATTAAATATAATAATTATGTGGATAATATTTTATAATAAATGTTGATAATGATAATGTATATAATACTTACAATTAAGACGACAATGGTTCAATTGAATTGAACTATAATTGAATAATAACTATAACCTTGTGTAATAAATGACATTCCAAAAAGTAATTTATAATGATAACTAAAATAATATATATATATGTACAATCTTTTATAATATATAATTTTTATTATGATTTTATCAGATTTGTTTTTCATCAGAATTATACTTTATACTTTACTTTATATTTTATGATAAAATATTTCACTTATAAAAACAAAAAGGATAACATCTACATAAGTAATGAGAATTGGTATATAAAACGAACGATTTTTATGAAATTCAATATTTTTAAATATATATTCGCAAACGCATATCTCTTAAAACTCTCGTTAATAAATTTTTATCAAACTGTACTTATACAGAACTTAAATAATATTAAAAATCCTATGTGGATACAGTATTTATTATCCTAAAACAAAAAGTTTTACCAAAGTGAGAATAGTAAAATAATTTATGTAAAAGTAAAAAGTTAGCCTTTCATCCTTTAAAGATTTAAATATTACGAAACAAGCCAACTAAGTCCAAAAGATTTTAATAGATTCGAATGATGTCTTCAATTTTTTTAGGTTAACATAGAACACGTTCTTCATGAATAGCACAAATAATCTCAGGAATCTGGAGGATGTATTTCATTAAATAATTAATTTCAGGAGATCTTAAGTTGAGCATACCACAAAAAATGTTGAAAAACATTGCATTATACGGTAATATTTTTACATATTTCCAAAAGTAATAACAAGAGAGAAAAGTTAAATTTCTGAACTGCAGAAAAATATATCATAAATTTAAATTTATTATAACCATTCCCTTTCCACACATGTCCATTCATCATCAGAACTGTAAATGATGCAGTTTAATTACTCATATAATTAAAAGTAGTTCGAGTAGAATTTTTAAAGACTATTATATCTTTATTTTTACGATGTTATTAATAAATAATTTTTTTATTTCAATTTATTAATAATTGTTCTTTGTAATGTGTTAATGTCTTTTCGAAGCTAAATACTTTATCCCTTTAAGCATATCTATACATTATTTTGTATAAAATTATACAAAATGGGGCTCTCTAAAATAGTTATGCTTAAATAGGATTTAGTATTGCTATATAAAATACATAATTTATATTGAATGAATTATATTATGTTAATGACTATAGAATATGGTTAAAATATTGGTTTAATAAAAACTGTTTTAAAACTAATTTTTCAAAGAAAATGTAATATTTAACAATTTACCAATAAGCCAGTTTCAAAAACAAAATTATTAATAAAATATTTTTGTCATTAAAACAATAAATTATATATAATTTAATAATTCATAAATTTCTGTTCATTGATTGATTGATAAAAATAATATATATTTTAAAATTCTACTAACACGCAACCCTTGGTACAATAGAACTCTTCTTGCCGCGGTACCGGCTGTTGGACTAAGTCACGACACTAGTTTTAAAAATAATAACT